ATGATTCAGGAACGAATTATGCTAGAGGTTCCACTGTAACATTACGTTGCAGGTCTTTGAACAACCAGGTATAATCAGAACAGCAGGTAACAAATTCATAGGTTTTGAAGTCTTAACAGGTCAAGGACTTTTTTGTTTAACACCAGTAGCCCACCAGGCACACCATATTAGACTCAAGTTGTGACAGATAAACTGGCAACTTGTGGATCATGTGACTCAACATCACTTCCAAGGATATTACCTTGTAGCCATTTTCTTCTTCTTCTGCTTTTCAATGAAGCATAGGCCCTCAACCAATTCACGCCAAGTTGTTCTATCCTTTGCTATCGCATGCAGCTTCCCCCATGTCCTCCCAATCTTTCTAACTTCATTCTCCAGCGCCCTTCTCCATGTGTTTTTTGGCCTTCCTTTATTCCTTTGCCCCTGTGGGTTCCAATGCAAAGACATACTAGTTATGCTGTTGTCCAGTTTTCTCAATGTGTGTCCTATCCAAAGCCAGCATCTTTTCCTCACCTTTTGGTCCATTGGAGCTTGCTTAGTTCTCTCCCAAAGCTCTACATTATTAGTTCTATCCACATCAATTATTCTATCATATAGCCATTTTAGGCTGGGTAATACTGGGAGCTGCTGTTAATTTCAAGGAACAGACCAAACATAAGTGTGAAGGAGTATTTGTGAAAGATTACTGTATACAAATGGCTATAGTCCATTAGGTTTACTAGGGACTATAATGTTGAATATGTAGCCCTTCAGGGGCCATGAACCAAAGCCCCAGCACAGAAAAATCATTGATACTATAAAGTTGGCAGTTATGTACTGGCGTCTTATTAGGCCTCCGCGGGCTAGCGGTAGAATAGCCCTGCTTTCTCTCTCTCTCTTTCTCTCTCTCTCTCTATACATACACACATATATATATATATATATATATATATATATATATATATATATATATATATATATATATATATATATATATATACATACACACACATATATATATATATATATATATATATATATATATATATATATATATATATATATATATATATATATATATATATAAATAAAAATACACACACACATACAAAACACTTCTTTATATTCACAGGTTCTAAACTCCGGCAGACATTTCTGGTTATTCATCAACTTCTAAACTTCTTGATCCCAAGCAAGCTAGAGTTTAGTGTCGACATCCATTATTTCGAATCTGGCCAATCTGTGTTGGTTCCTCGCCTCTCAAGCTGGTACAATGCGCCAACCACCATTTTAAGAAGAAATGCAGAAGGCAAAGATTTTACCTGGGGATTGTGAAAATCTAGCAAATGAAATGACATTTCTTGTTCTAATTATTGTTTCATCTCATTTTCATTATCTTCTTCTTCTTCTTCTTCACATTTGCCAGCTGTAAACTCGGTCAAAAAGTTCTGGTTTTCATCCACTTCTGGACTGCAGTCCTGTTCCAGAGCCTGAGTGTTGCGTGTGCATCCGTTTGACAGACCTGACTATTTTGTGTGCAGATTAATGGTTCCTTGCCTCTCAGGCAGATGCACTCTTGTCTCAGAAAGAAGCTCCCAACTGGTCGACTCTTACGACATGCATTTGGGTAGGCAGTGGGTCTGTTCTTGTTTTCCCTATAATAGGGCCCCGGAACCCACACGGGAAATTTTCATTATGATTCAGACATTATTTCCAAAGTACAATTCCTATCCTTATTTACTATTGTAATTCCCACATATAAGTCATATACTTTTATCCACACATAATTTCTATTCCATTTTCCATATGAACCTTATATTAAAAACTCACTAATAATTCAAATTTGCACCTAAACTTCATATTTTGATTCCCACAAATAATTTCTACTCCAACTGCCCCACATAATTCTTTCTCTAATTCACAAGCCTAAATTCCTATTTTAATTCAAAAATGTAATTCAAAAATGTAAATTCCTTTCCCAATTATTCCCAAGTATAACTGTATTCCACTGTACACATGTCATTATTCCTACTCTAATGATGACACTTCATTCTAGACGAATGCCAGTATATTACTGATTATAACCAGTCAAATCCACAAATTATTTCAAGTAAATAATAAAGAAAATTACACACACAAAAGATAAACATAATGTCAATTTATTACAGAGGCATCATCATCATTTACATACTGTCAATTTACAGAAACACACAAAGACATCATCTTCATCGCTAACTTGTCAATTTATTACAGAAACATATAAAGTCACGGTCTTCATCACTAACACATTGTCAATTTATTACAGAGACATATAAAGTCATTATCATTACTAAGATATTGTTCATTTACAACAGAAGCACACAAAGTCATCATCATCATTAATAACATATTATGAAAATGCATGCTAGTGTCCAAATTGTCCTGTGACCAGTAATGCCTCTTTCAAGTTTAAAACAGGGGTAAAAAACAAGAAGACAAGGAAAACAAAATGGACTTTCAAAAATCAACAACATTACAGGAGTAAAGAAACAGTTACTACTAAACTTACATTACAAATCTTTTACATAAGAAACTAATATAAACCTAGAAATTTAAAAAGTATGACAATTTTCGAGTATAAATGTTAAAATGTATCAATGATCAGCGCTTACAAATTTACTATTTTATAAACTATTACGAACCTAGAAATTCATTAACTATAAAATATTACAAAACGATGACCTTCACATTTATTACAAATCTATTGTCTTACAAAGCATTATAAATCTATGATTTCTTAAATAATTACAAAATTATGAGCTTGTTAAATACATTAGCTTTAAAGATGTAACAAATGTAAATACTTATAACTTTGTAAAAATCAAAAATGATGACTTTAGAGACAAGTATTAACCTTAGAAACAATTATAAATCTATGATTTGTACACAAGTACAACTTTCAGTTCTCATTAACAGCCCAAATCTATTACTTCATACACAACTACAAATCTCATTTCTTATTAAGAGCCTAAATCTATGACTTCATACATAACTACAAACCTTAGTTCTCATTAACAGCCTAACTCTATGACTTCATACACAACTACAAACCTCAGTTCTCATTAACAGCCTAATCTATGACTTCATACACAACTACAAACCTCAGTTCTCATTAACAGCCCAACTCTATGACTTCATACACAACTACAAACCCCAGTTCTCACTAACAGCTAAATCTAGTACTGTAAAAATAAGTAAAAACCTATATTTTCACAATAACAGCCCAAATCTATGACTCTATTCACAACTACAAACCTCAGCTATCATTAACAGTCTAAATCTATGGCTTTATACACAACTACAAAATTTAACTTTCATTATCATTCCAAATCTATGACTTTATGCATAACTACATACCTCAGTACGAGACTAGTCCATAAAATATAGGTCTAGCCCTGTAAGCCCAATACGCATAAAGATGTGAGAAAGGGTCCTTTACTTTTACTTACATACCTCAGTTCTCATTAACAACCCAAATCTGTAACTTTATACAAGCTACAAATCAGTTCTCATTAACAACCTAAAGCTTTAACTTTATACAAGCTACAAATCAGTTCTCATTAACAACCCAAAGCTTTAACTTTATACAAGCTACAAATCAGTTCTCATTAACAACCCAAAGCTTTAACTTTATACAAACTTCAAATCGGTTCTCATTAAAAGCATAAATCTATAACTTTATACAAACTACAAATCGGTTCTCATTAAAAGCCTAAATCTATAACTTTTTACAAACTACAAATCAGTTCTCATTAACAACCCAAATCTATAACTTTTTACAAAGTACAAATCAGTTCTCATTAACAACCCAAATCTTTAACTTTTTACAAACTACAAATAAGTTCTCATTAACAGCCTAAATCTATAACTTTATACAAACTTCAAATCAGTTCTCATTAACAACCTAAATCTACAACTTAATTATTTTCAATGTCCTGTTGTGCCATTATATGTCATATCCAACTCGCAGTCTATATCTCCAGTCCATTCTATCCTGTGCAATCATTTTGATATCATGAATGAGATCCAGTCCAGCACCCTTGGCCTCTCTCATCAACATTCGCACCAGGGTTTCTCTTGGATGTCCTCGTTTCCTGTGACTTTACACATCTACAAATATCAGTTCCCATCAACAGCCCAAAACTATTATCCAGTAACCAGAGAAAGAAAGAGAAACACACCCACATACACACTTGCAGACAATTACAAATCAATCTCTTCCTTGACTTCCTGTGCCAGATAACAGGAAAACAGTTAAAAATCAATCAATCTCCTTGACTTTCTGTGCCAGACAACAGGAAAACAGTTAAAAAATCAATCAATCTCCTTGACTTTCTGCGCCAGGCAATAGGGAAACAGTTACAAACCAATCAATCTCCTTGACTTTCTGTGCCAGACAACAGGAAAACAGTATAAATCAATCAATCTCCTTGACTTTCTTTCTGTGCCAGGCAACAGGAAAACAGTTACAAATCAATCAATCTGCTTGACTTTCTGTGCCAGGCAACAGGAAAACAGTTACAAATCAATTTCCTCCTTGACCTTCTGTGCCAGGCAACAGGAAAACAATTACAAGCCAATCTCCTCCTCAACTTTCTTTCTGTGCCAGAAAACAGAAAAACAATTACAAATCAACCTCCTCCTTGACCTTCTGTGCCAGACAATAGGGAAACAATTACAAATCGATCCACTCCTTGACCTTCTGTGCCAGACAATAGGGAAACAATTACAAATCGATCCACTCCTTGACCTTCTGTGCCAGACAATAGGGAAACAATTACAAATCGATCCGCTCCTTGACTTTCAGCTTCAGAAAACAGAAAAACAATTACAAATCAACCTCCTCCTTGACCTTCTGTGCCAGACAATAGGGAAATAATTACAAATCGATCCACTCCTTGACTTTCTGTGCCAGACAATAGGGAAATAATTACAAATCGATCCACTCCTTGACTTTCAGCGTCAGAAAACAGAAAAAACAATTACAAATCAATCTCCTCCTTGACCTTCTGTGCCAGACAACAAGAAAACACTATGCCAAATATCTGAAGTATACTCAGACCCAGTGCTACTCCTCCTATGAGAATCAGGTGCAGCCTAATAAATTTCTCAAGTTCCACCACGCAGCCCTGCAAAAAACATAACAATAAAGGATGAAAATAATGTATTCTTAAAACTGTCTAAAAATAAATGTTAAAACTAGGGCTGTACCGAAAGTGATTTTCACTATTTGGCCGAATACGAAAAGCTGGACCAACTATTCGGCCGAATACGAATATGAATAGTGAATCATCATCATCAGGTGCTTTGCCGACTGGCATCGACGATTATGCCTTGCCACAATCTGCGATCTCCTGCAGCATGTATTAGTTCGTGTGCTGACACACCTCCATGCTATGCAACAAGACTGTCAAGAATCTTCTCTCGTGGTCTTCCTCTATCCCCCCTTCAACATGTCTTTCCAGTGGTCTCCACATGTTCCATTTTCCCTCATCTTATAAAATAGGCCAAAAAATGATGACTGTCTACTTCTGATGTCTGTGAGTAGTTATCTTCGGGCTCCCACCTCTATCGAAACCTCTTGGTTGCTTTTGTTTTTGTTTGCTATCCAAGGTATTTTAAGCATTGTTCTGTAAAACCACATCTCTGAGGCCTCAAGAAATTGTTAGGCCTGCCTTCCGATTGTCCAGGACTTACAACCATATGTGAAAACTGGATGTATGTAGCAAGCAAGAATTTTTTTTCTAACTCTCAATGACAAAGATATATTGCATAAGACGTTCTTCACTTTATAAAATGCAGTTTTTGCCTGTCCTATTCTATTTCTTATTTCAGTAATACATCTTCCATCTGATGTTATCCGTGTTGCCCTTTGTCAGACCTCCACTGTTACCCTCTGTTACACCTCCACTGTTGCCCTCTGTCAGACCTCCACTGTTGCCCTCTGTTAGACCTCCACTGTTGCACCTCCTATGTCAGACCTTCTTTGTTGCACCTCTTCTATTAGACCTACTCTGTTGCACCTCCTCTGTTAGACCTCCTCTGTTGCACCTTTTCTGTTAGATCTCCTCTGTTAGACCCCCTCTGTTGCCCTCACTGTAAGCTCTCTTCTACTCTTTTTATTTTCCTTTTTCTTCTGTGTCCACCCTTAAAACAGCAGCCAGCACACTGTGTTGTGGTTTACAGCTAGGGTGTGATTTCCGCACCTTTAAGCCCAAGACATCCAACTGCAGCAAACTCCAAATTAGCTGCCTTGTAAAAAATGCTTGTTCTGGGGTCATGGGGATGAAGAGAGCATTGACGGAGGGTACAGTTTCTTTTAAACAAGGCAGAGGTAGAAACAAGACACTGAAGATGCACTGGCTTTGAAAGCACATAGGGCTGGAGAATTGACTAGAGAAAGATACTTTCAGGCATGTCATGGTTGAAGTGATGTTCTGTAAAAACTGATTGACTATCTTGTCAGGAAAAGGGGTTGGGTGAGGGGGGTTGGGGGGGGGGGGGGGGTGTCTTTTCTTTTGTCCTCCAAACTAGGGTTCAGGATCCCAAATTGGGGAATTTCCCTGTCCTATCTTAAAATGTCTACTCCTCAACTTCAGACTTTCATGCATCCAGCTTTACTTTTACCACATATGTCTCCATTTCTACCATACAATTTCCCACATCCTCCCCTTTTCTATTCCTTCCCCGAGGTCAGAAGTGCACAACATTACATAGGCCTGTGGGCCAAGTCTCGGCACTTTGAAAAAAACTGTTTTTTTTTCTTCTATTCTTCCAATTCCCTCTTTCATTCCTCTATATTGACTGCTCCACTTCCCTCTTCTACCAAACATTTTCCCTCCTCTTCTTCTTTTTTTGTCTCACTGATACCAGGTTGGAACCAAGTGTCCTGTTTTTCTGTATTTGTCTTGTGCTTCTCAGGTGGCTTGGGTGATGGATTTGTTCAAATTTTTGCAGGTTTCAACTACACGATTCCCTCCTCTACTTAACTTTAACCTTATACTCCTCTGATATCCCCTTCTATGCCTTCAGTCACCTCTTTTTCCCCCTCTCCTGTAACATCCCCAAGAGAAATATAATCAACAACAATACAGCATCAGCAACATTGCAGTATCAATGTAACATCATCAATGATATGTTTCAACAATACAGATATTCTCAACATCAAAACAGTACCAACAGCATCATATCATCACTTCACTGATATCATTACTTCAATGACATCATTACTTCATTGACAACAACCACAATGACTTACTGATTTACGAGTTTCAGAATAAAATATAACAGCATACCGGGCATACGTATAGATAATGGCTACTCGTTAAAGTGCTGTTCAGTTCACGAATGCACTTTTTACAGAGATCTCTGGCAATTGTTGCCAAAGCTACTGAGGTCGTGCTCTGTACAATGCTCTTGGCAGGCAGCTGGCTGTTCTGCGGAGAGAGCCTGAGCCATATGGAATCAAACCTAGTGCAATGAAGTTGATCCTCTCACCTTTAACTTACCTTTATAAAATTCCCCCTAAAAATTACAAATTGTAAAAAATATATGGATATGGGGGAAAAGGGGGGGGGGGGATTCCTGCTTAGGGTCATGGCCCTTTTTTTTTATGTTACTGGGGTAAAAGGGTTTAGCTCAAGTCATTGGGAAATGAGTTGAAGAAACAATTGCCAGGTACTGATAGTGCTGTGGTATAAGGTGTTGACTGTTGTGTGACACTCATACGCTACAAGCTTGACCGACCTACCTCTTGGAAGACATTGGACAAACTGGCACATGAGCTGTTTTGTGCGATACAGCAGGATATGGGCACTGCAATGGTGTCATTGATCAACCTCCTCTCGGCTGCCCACAAGGAAGACTCCCAGTCGCTGACGCCACTAACTCCACAGCACTGAAACTGTCCACAGTAAACAAATAACATATTTTGCCCCTGTGCAAATATCATTATCATCATCCTGTACCGTATCAATAACAGGAGGTCATGGTGCGCCATCCCATATGATCAACAGAATCATGGATCATATCAATGCTCTTGTCCCCACCCCATGCATGTGACCAAGCTGACCAGGCATATATCTGTTTTTCCTCCTGCTTTTCCCACCAAAGCTTGCCAGCTGTCACAAAATTTTCAAATCTACTCCTCCCCAAAACATACCCACTCACACCCAAAAATTCATTATGTCCAGTGCTTTCTTTCCTATTACAAAATGACGCCAATACTCATCATAAAGCGTGTTAAAAACGTGTTGGTACTCACCATAAAATGTGTTAAAAAATGTGCTAGCATAAAGTGTGTTAAAAATGTGCTGGTACTCACCATAAAGTGTGTTAAAAATGTGCTGGTACTCACCATAAAGTGTGTTAAAAATGTGCTGGTACTCACCATAAAGTGTGTTAAAAATGTGCTGGTACTCACCATAAAATGTGTTAAAAACTTGCTAGCATAAAGTGTGTTAAAAATGTGCTAGTACCCACCATAAAGTGTGTTAAAAACGTGCTGGCATAAAGTGTGTTAAAAATGTTCCGGTACTCATCATAAAGAGTGTTAAAACTGTGCCGGTACTCATCATAAAGTGTGTTAAAACCGTGCTGGCATAAAGTGTGTTGAAAATGTGCTGGCACTCACCGTAAAGTGTGTTTAAAATGTGCCAGTACTCACAAAAAGTGTGTTAAAAATGTGCTGTACTCACCATAAAGTGTGTTTAAAATGTGCTGGTACTCACCATAAAGTGTGTTAAAAATGTGCTGGTACTCACTATGAAGTGTGTTAAAAACGTGGTGGTACTCATCACAAAGTATTAATGAAAAATATAATGCCTATTAAAAAAAGTTCCAGTACTGCACACCCCTGCATACCACCAGAAACAAATTCCTGACTATGGCTAATATCTTGAAATGGTTTAGTTTGCATCTATCTGGTGGAGGATGGCCAGGTATAAAGTCCTGCCATTCTGTCATATTCTTTTCATTCTTTCACAGATCACTTAAACAGAAATGACACTACGGGTATGAAATTCACAGATCACCCATACAAACAGAAGTGACAGTGCAGGTGTGAAATTCACAGATCACCCATACAAACAGAAGTGACACTACAGGTATGAAATTCACAGATCACCCATACAAACAGAAGTGACAGTGCATGTGTGAAATTTATAGACCACTCATACAAACACAGGTGAAAGTACACGTGTGAAACTCACGGATCACTCATACAAACACAGGTGACGGTACAGGTGTGAAACTCAGAGATCGCTCAAACAAACACAGGTAACAGTACAGGTGTACATCTCACAGATCATCAATATAAACAGTGAACATGTGACAGTACGGGTGAATAACTCACAAATCATTAACACAAACAACAAACAGATGACAGTTCAGGTGTAAAACTCACAGATCACCCATAACATGTGACAGTACAGGTGTAAAACTCACAGATCACCCATACAAACAACAACCATGTAACAGTACAGGTGTAAAACTCAGATCACGACCATTGATATAAACACAGGTGACAGAACAGGTCTAATACTCACAGACAGCCCATATAAACAACATTAGTTACAGTACAGGTGTAAAACACATAGATCACCCATACAAACACTGGTGACAGAACAGGTCTAAGATCACAGACAGCCCATATAAACAACATCAGTTACAGTACAGGTGTACATTAACAGACTTTACACAAAAACATCACAGGTGACAGAACAGGTGTGAAACTCACAGTAGACTGCATGTGATCCACTGCTCTAGTGACGTCTGTGTCCAGGTAATACTTGCTGGCAATCGTCTGGTTGAGGTTCCTCGTCAGCTCCTCATGTATCTGGACACAAAACACAACAGTGGTGATGCTACAGAGACAACATGCTGGAGTAAAGGGTAGCAGCTAGCCACTCGCCCTCAAGGTCTTAGGTTCAATTCCGCATTCTTCTTTGTCACTTTTTCTTTCACCACTTCAGGTGTTGAAGGAGTTATAAGGTTCTGCTTCTTGCTTTTGCTTCTTTGATGTTATCTTTCCAACTTGTTTTTGGTCTACCTTGTGCTGTATGTCCTTCTCCTCTTTTGGTGTATGCTGTATACTGTATGCCGTTACAAGGCATTCTTGATTCTGCATTGTGATGAAATAGTTACAAAACTGACCTTGGCTCCCAGGTTGATCCAGCCTAAAATAGTCACTAGGTAATGTCCCTGGAAGTAAAGGTGGCCGGCATGATACTGACCACATTACCCACCAAGTGCTGAATGGTCTTTAAAAAGGTGACATGTCCATTAAGGAGGGAAGGATTGGGTGCGGGGAGGAGGGAGCGTAACAGTCTCTTATTTTTTAATTGGTTCTTTTTTGTGTCTGTGGCAAAAATAGAGTCAATAAGAAAAGTGTGTAAATACACATGTAAGCATAGACACATACATAGATATACACATACTATGCCTGTATATACATTTGCCTTCTCAGCTCTCACCAGCAAAAAGTTCTGGTTGTTTGTCCACTTCTAAACTTCAGTCTTATTCCAGAATTTGAGTTTTGCATGCACATTCGTTTTACAGATCTGGCTTACTTGTATACAGAATCCTGGTTTTTCACCTGTCGGATAGATATCCTGTGACACGAAAAGAAACACCCCTAAGTAGTTGCCTTTTACAACAGGCTGGTTAGGGAGATAAGTTCACTTTGGGAGGGGGGAGAGGGGGGGGGGGGGGGGCCTAAAACTGGGGTCACGGAAACCACATGAGGAGATTAGAACAGAGTTAGGACGTTTATTTGACTACATACACATGGAAACTGACGCGTAAACTTACGGTGCTCTCGTACATATATGCCAAGGCCCCAGCACATGTTTCCAGCAGGAACACAAACATCAGGGCAAATGCATACTGAAATAATTACAGGCAAAAATTTATAGATATTTTTATACAAATATACATTAAAGTTCTACCCAGCCTAATAATGGTACCCAGTAATGTTTGGGAAAGTAAAGGCAGCCGACATGATGTTGAAAACATAACCCTTAGGGCCGATTGATCTATACTAACATAATATACCCAATGCTGGAGTGGTGTAAATGAACTCAAGAAGTCAAAGATGTAAATGAACTCAAGAAGTCAAAGATGTAAATGAATCCAAGAACTAAAAGATATAAAGGAACTCAATAATGCAAATGTATAAATAAACTCAACAACTCAAAGATATAAATGAACTCAAGAACTAAAAGATATAAATGAACTCAAGAATAAATAACCTCAAGAACCCAAAGGTATAAATGAAAAAAAGAAAATCAAAATAGAATCATGGAGAAGTCTATAAGAATGTACCATGAATGCCCAGGCAGAACTCTCAGCTTTACTGATGAGGCACAGAGTATGAACAAACCACAAACACCTGCAGACAGGCTGGTCTGCCTCAAAAACTGACTTAGGCAAAAAAAGGCAGTGTCAAACAACAGATAGACCAGCTACTGTCTTTTCGAGAGGCGAAAACCCTCATTAAGAGAAATTAGAAACAGACTGGAAAACAAACACTGTATATATAAAAATAAAGATTTCCCTAAACAAAACTGACCACGTTACCATTTTACAAACAGGACACTACAGACTCAACCTACACTCATATACATTAGGTATGAGCCAAATGGCTGTCTGTCAGTGTGTTTGTTCTGAACAGACCCCAGAACATTTCTTGCAAGACTGACCTCTCCTGGAGGAGCTGCAAAACAACATTGAGCCACACCCAGTAGACCTGACAATGAAGCTTTGGGGGAACCTGGGAGACTTTCAGATGACATCCTAGTTTATGGCCCACATTGGATTAGACACGTGACCAAAGATTTATAGGCCTGCCTGTATATTATCTCTATATTAGCTCACCTTAGTCACATGACTTACCATGGTAACTTAAAATTTACAATAAATTCTGTCTGCTTACAAAGGAGGGGGTTGTTGATTTTAATTGTTAAAGCTTCAGCCATTCTCAAATTCTCAACAGTCTCCTGTTCGGAGTGTGGTAAACCACATGGAAAGCACTGTCTGCACGGTGAGCTTCCGGTGGCCCCAAAAAAATACATACGATGTGTCCGAAGAAACTATTTGCATTTCAGTTGAATTTTTTCAGTTTTGTGCTTCATTTTATGTTGATGTAACTCTGTAGTAACGCACCTGACAAGATACAGCGAAATATGCCTAGCAATAAATTGTGCAGTGTACAAAATTAGGGTAGGGGTCTGTGGGGAGTAGCCATCCACCTAAATAAGAGTCTTGATGTTAGTTACAGTTGTCAAGTCTGTACATGTGGTGAGTATAAATTTATCCTAACCCCCCCCCCCCCCCCCCCCCCCCCCATTAAATATATTAACTGGGGTGAAACAAATTCTACTTTGAGTAGAATTATGTAATAATGTCACCTGGATAAGCATGAAAACCCTGTTTATTATGGTCAAAGGAAAGCAAAGTAGTCCATGCTTTGTTACATTTGCATTTAGTGAATAATTCTTTTTCTTTAAAAAAATTATTTCGCTAATAAAAGTATAAACCCAAAAAAATATGTATAAATTACTGTTGTGATTCTGACCACTGTGATGACTCAATGGCATCACACTTGACTGTTTGCTGCTATGTTTCAATTCTTTAGGGTTTTTTGAAACTGGCCAAGACTCCAAATGTCTTCTACTTTTTCTTCTCCTCCTCTAGTTTTGTAGGGTGGAGTTGCAGTGAACTTTAAGGATGTCTTACTGTGGGGTTTTTTTTTTTTAATAGACATGTTGAAAATGCACACAACAACAGAAAAGACATGGATTTAGCAGTCAGTCAAGTGTCGGTTCAGCAGACATGGGACGGTGACTGTGTATATGTTATTGGATCTGTATTTCTACACTTGTTAAGTGTTGCTAAGAACAGAGACCAGCAAAGGTCAGGCTGTGAATGTTTTCCATCATAACATCTTTACCACCCAGACTCAGGATTATGAGATTAGTGATCTACTTCTTCTGCATTCCTCTTTAAAATGACCAATAACATGCACTGTTGTGACTTACAGCCAGGCTGTAACATCAGAACCTTTTGGTCCAACATATCCCAATTCAGTAAACTGTTAATAAGTTGTCTTTTACAATAAGCTTGCTAACGTGCAGTGGGTTAATACCTCCGCCCCCACCCTTAACCTAAAAAAAAAAAAAGTATCCAGGAACTTACACGGGAGAGATAAGAGACGAATGAGTTTCCTGTTTGGGTTCCGGGGGATATAAGAATAGACCCACTGCCCCTAAAGGCCTATCATAAAAGATGGCTATTTAAGGCCTTCGAAGGCAGAGTGCATCTGCCTCAGAGGCCTGGAACCTAAAGTCTGCATACAAATAAGCCACAGCTGTAAAACGGATGTGTACGCAAAACTGAAGTTCTGGAAGAGGCTAAAGTACAGAACTGGAGGAAGAATCAGAATTGTTCACCTGAGTTCACAGCTGGTAAACATGAGGAATAAGAAGATAAATGAGTGATTTATGAACAATTAAAAACTGTCCCCATTACTCACAAAAATCAAGCAACATCTCAACTCTTTCAAGGTGCCGACACAGCCGAGGATCCCCACCAGAAGTATGACTCCTCCGATGGCTATAAACAGGTAAGTGGTGATGGGGAACAGATGGCTGTCCAGTAGGCTGATGTAGTGGTGGCGGAGGAGGAGGCTGCCCAGACCACACAGGAGAAAGGCCAGTCCGCTCAGCTGGGGGCAGATCAGAACAGCAAGCATTTAAACATTTTAAAATACTAGTTGACAGTTAAATGTGGGTTGATTGTTTGGTTGGGTAGAGTGATTGATTCACTGATTAGTGGGTTGCTTAACTCTTTTCAGGCCCAAGGAACGCATCAAACGTTCATAGGTTGCTACCTTAAAGCTCAATAAACGCAAGATGTGCCAATTTTACATCTCTTTACTTCCCCTTGGGCCTCTGTTGCCAAACCCCTGGGGATTGAAAGAATTAATGCATTGATTAGTTGGTTGAACTGGTAGTTTGGTGGGTGGGTTGGATAATTTGTTGGCTACTTTGTGGGTGGATGAGGGGTAGATGCTTGCTTGGGTGGGTGTGTTAGTTGATTTGCTGGTGGGATGGGGAGGGGAAATGTAGATGACTTGTAGGTTAGTTGTTGAGTGGGTTGCTTGGTGAACAAATCAGCTGGTTGGTGGGTGGGTTGGACAGTTTACTGGTTGATAGATGAGGGCTAGTTGCTTGCTGAGTAGCTGTGTTCGTTGATTGGTTGGTGGGCAGATGAGCGAGTTGGTTGGCTGGTGGATGTGTGGGTGGGCTGGATGGTTGTCTGGCTGGATCTAGAAAACCGAGTTTCAACATTCTGATTAATAAATATCACTAATATCTAATTAATTTTACTTAAAACTCTTATATTAATTTATATCACAGCTTACCAGCCATACCAAATGGTGCTCTGTTTCCAGCAGCAGCTATTTTAAGATGATGGATGCTGACACAAATGTCGTACATTTGTACAGATTCTCTCATACTTCACTTCGTGCTGAATCCAGAATTTATTCAACACCCACACAATAACACATTAACTTTCATCTAACATCGTATCTTCTATCAGTATCCATTCCTAAATGGTCTTCAGACTGTCCGCCTTATGTGAGTGTTCCCACCCTAGTTGCTTTTGCAACCTACAAATCTGCTCATTCATTACTTTGCACTCCTGCATGTCCCAGACAGGATTTCCTTGAGATCACCCTGTAATATTAACTTGCTGATGCTTGCTGTCCACTTATGGCATATATGCTCATGTGGGATCTTTCACAACACCGATTGAAGATCAGATCAGATCTATTTTCAGCTTTCCATTTTAAATTGACTGCCTCCACCTCCATCTTCTCATGATTTATATACAAATGCACCATACTGTTTTGCAAGGACCTTTTCCTTTAGTCTGGCTGAGAAACACCAGGCAGATTTTTCACCCAGATTTACAGAACCATCCGTGTACACTATTGCATCATCTAGCATAGCGTGTTTTATTCATCAGATGTTTTGCTACACCATTATCACATTCTCTACATTCTACTCATATTATGATGATGATGATGAAGATGACCCAGTGGAAACTGTTGTGTGTTCCTGTTATCTCCTTCCTGCCCCCTGTGAATTTCCTCAGTTCAGGCTGCCAGCAAGATGGTACTTTCAGCTAATGGCATCCACAAATTCTCTCTCCTTTACTAATTTTACCTGAAATCTTCTTCTTCTTCGCATTGACTGGCTGTAAACTCCAGCAGAAAGATCTGGTTGTTCATCCACCTCTGATTCCAGAACTGAGTGCTGCGTCCACATCAGTTTAACAGATCTGACTTACCTGTATGCAGATTGTTGGTTTTATGGTTCTTAGGCAGGAAGGAAGCTCTCTATTAGTTGACTCTTACGACATGCGTATTGGGAAGGCAGTGGGTCTATTTTTGTTTTCCCAACAATGGGGCCCTAAAAACCTTGTGGGGATCATCTGAAATCGTCCAGGTTGCCAGTCAGTGGGTCTCTTTCATCACTGGTGACTTGCACATAACCTTGGCTTATGCAAGTGCCAGCCTAAATTTTACTAAGGCTGTATCCCACTGTTCTAACTGATTGATATCATTAATCTGCAATGAATATTACCCAGAAGAAACTGTTGAATGCAACCATAATTGACTTGAGGAAAGTCCGACTGCAGCACCCATTATCATCTCTGCGATTGAGCATTCTGGGGAGATGACGAAAGTCATTTGAAATTTCCATACAAATAAAATACGATATACATGCATATAAGTGAGTGCATGTGTGCATGTGTTGTTTGCTGACGTATGTGTGCGCACATGTGTATGTGTGTAGCAATATATGGATGTGAGTCGTGGACTATCTTGCAGTCATTAAGAAAGAAAATAGAGGTTTTTTGCTGAAGAAAGATTCTCAGAACACCATGAACCAAGAAGGAAAGAAACACTGACGTCTGAAAAGATTTGGACCTCTCGGAAGGTGAAATATCAAGCACCACGGCAGATTAGAAAAAATAATAGCAGAAGGAATGGTACCAGGAAGGAGAGGCAGGGGCTGACGAGCATGAAGACGGGCACAGGATGTAAGTGGCACCTCGGGTAGGAAGTGCAGAAGGTGGGAGAGCTGGCAAGAGATGGAGTTTCTGCAAAGGACCTGCTACATGATCGCCATGACATATTGAATTTCTGGACTGAAATGTTTTGTATGTTAAATTGGTATGTGTGTGTGCATGAGCTCACGTGCGAGTGTGCGCGTTGTACGCGCGTCCACGCCTGTTGTGTGTGTTCACATATATGTGTGCGCATATGCGTGTATGTGATATTTTTTTAACACTGTGAAGGGCATTAAACAGACAGTCTCACAGGTCATGTATGACACATAAAATTAAGACTGCCATGAAAAAGAGAACACTACAAAATGAGAACCTGGAAAAGGAAAGGACCAAAATGAATAAGGTCATGAAGAAGACACCATCTACATACCATCTACATACTATATCTACATACCCCCCCCCCCTCCCCTTTAGGCAAACCATAAAACCAGGTTTACTAAATAAAGCTTACCATCTGCTTAGGTCTATTCAGGCAATGATATGACAAGACTCTCCTAGGCCTACTTAGGTCACCCATATCCCTAGGTCTGCTTAGGCTCCACTTTTGCCTAGGTCTTCTTTTGCTACCATGTGACTAGACTTGCCTAGGTCTGCTTAGGCTCCACTTTTGCCTAGGTCTTCTTTTGCTGCCATATGACTAGACTTGCCTAGGTCTGCTTTTGCTACCATATGACTAGACTTGCCTAGGTCTGCTTAGGCTCCACTTTTGCCTAGGTCTTCTTTGACTGCCATATGACTAGACCTGCCTAGGTTTACTTAGGCTCCCTCATGCCTAGCTGTAAGGGCAAATGTGGAATAGGAAATGAGACATCATCGAGACACACGAACAATGAGAATCTCACCTCCCAAGACGACTGATCTCTGTCAAATGTCAGGAGATCAGTGGCAACTTCACAGCTGAAATCTCTTCTTATGTGCAGACAAGAGGAGATTTCTTAGTGCTCTGAAGATATGTTTGCAACTGTGAGGGAGGGCAGACGCATCTGCCACTCAAACACACAAGATGGATCCAGCACACTGGGGCACCATGGAAGCCTGAAATATAGAGTTAAATTCTCTTTGGTCTGTACAAGATCACTTCCCTCACACAGTCACCTCTGTAAGTGCCACTGTCTCCTTCAACAGATCACACTAGGACATTCTCTGTACAGTGTAAGAGCCTCTGGCTACAGCAGTGATTATTTCTTCTTCTTCTTCTTAACAGTGTCCATAAAAAGGTTAGCACATCCTTGTGTGGTTTACAGGTGACTTTCAGGCCAGCATGTCCTAGTTCAGAAAATCTTTTAGTCACCTTTAATGACAGGTGTGTTAGAAGGCAGATCTTGATACCCAGTCCTTACAAACCTGAGTGGATCAGTCACAGTTACGATGGTTTGGACATGTATGCAGAATGGGAGAAAATCGGCCACCATGGCAGGCATGAGAGGCTAAGAACCAGGGAACCAGACCTCCTTGACGACCCTTAAATGGTATATAGCATCAGAAGGCATATATTTCACATCCCGAGTTAATTTTGTCCAGACACCATGGGGTTCTCATCACACTGCTACAAACCTGCAGCTTCCACATAATGTCTCAATCCCCTGCTAATTATCACAGATGACTGCCAAAAGGAGTACTGTCCTGCAGGGGCACCAGGCTTAGGCACCTCTGAGGGTCCCCGTGGGCACCAGGCTTAGGCACCTCTGAACCTCTGAGGGTCTCCGGGGGCACCAGGCTTAGGCACCTCTGAGGGTCCCCGGGGGCACCAGGCTTAGGCACCTCTGAGGGTCCCCGGGGGCACCAGGCTTAGGCACCTCTGAGGGTCCCCCTTAGGCTAAGGCACAAGTGAGGGCCCCCACCCCCTTAGAAAAATAGTGGAGGGTGCCCTCTCCAACCCCCCTCCCTCTCTCCTGTGAAGTGTTCTTTGTGTTGGAGACCAGATGTCCAGTATGAAAGAATTAAGTGGTTGTGTATCTGAGTGGTGAGAGGGAGGGGGGAGGAGCTCTCACTATCTGACAGCATAACTGTGCTGTAACCATGACCTACAGGAGGTCATGGCCTGGACCGTCAGCGTCTGAGGTTTGGGTTTGATGCCAGTTTCACAATCCTGACATATCAGTGTTGTCAGCTACAGCTAATTTGTGTGTAAGTGGGTATAAAGTGTATATGAAGTGTTTTAAAATGTATGAAGTAGAAGTTTGAAGTGTGTATGAAATATATTAAGCGTGTATGAAGCATATGAAGTGTTTACGAAGCATATGAAGTGTGTACGAAGTATATGAAGCGTGTATAAAGTATATAAAGTGTGTATGCCGTTTTTAAGTTTGTATGAAGTATATGAAGTAAGTACAAAGCATATGAAGTGTGTACAAAGTATTTGAAGCGTGTATAAATTATATAGTGTATGACGTTTTTAAGTTTGAAGTATATGAAGTGTGTATAAAGTATATGAAGTATATGAAGTGTGTATGAAGTATATGAAGTGAGTATGAAGTATATGAAGTGCGCACGAAGTACAAGTATAAAATATGTGAATGAAGAGTGCATTAAGTGTGCAATAAATATATGTATTAAGTATGAAAGGTGCAGGCGATTTGATAGCAGGCCGCGTTGTATTAAATCTGACAATGGTACGTGTGTGGTACTGTTCGGGAAGCAGTGGCAAACTACGGAACCTGAAATTGTGTAGTAAAACCACACCAGCCAATAAATACTGCAGTTGGTCTACTCACGCCCTGAACTGGACATGTAGCTAATTCAGCTTAACCTGATTCTCTGGACCACTTCACAACAAGGCACCGCTGTACAAACCCAATGCCTTGAGTTCTAGAGACGCGCTGTGGAGCCGAGGCTCCACTTACAAAAGTGCCAGACTAAACGGCTGCAGTCATTCATCAACCGGAATCAGTCACAGCAGGTGTCAACATGGTAGTACTGCGTTGATTATGTCTAGCTGAGAGACCGCCTGACATTTCAGCCTGTGCCAATTTCAGGGTTATGCTCCAGGATGGAGGGATGAAGCAGTGAACAGAGGTCTACTTCATTCCTCTGGGATAAATTAATGAATGCATGAAAGAATGAATGAATGAACGAATGTATGAATTAATGCATACGTACGTACGTATGTAGTGTCTGTATGTGTGTGAGCACGCATGCGCGCGCGCGTGTGTGTGTCTGAGAGAGAGAAACGAACAGAGAACCAGCAAACAGGCACTAAAATGGGACACACATAGAATGAGGAAGGGAGGACGTCAAAACAGAAACCCTAAAACGAACGTTGCTGAGATCGGATAGAGGTCCCGAACTGGATTGATTACATCCATATCGAAGAGATAGCACACGGCTTATTGGAATGGAGGAATATACCATGAGCACTACTGTGACATATAATGACACATTAGGACAATGATGGATGATATAAGAGTACATATACCCGACAGGTGTAAGGAGGAAAGATCGACTCAGGAACGATGATATCAGGAGGAGAGTCGTCAGCACAGAACCAATAGTGAACTTTATAGGTAAACAACAAATCAAATGGTTTGGCCATGTAACAGGAATGGCATCAAACAGAATACCACAGAGAGCAATGCTATGCAGATGCAACGATAACAGAGCCAGAGGTCGACCACGCAGATCATAGACCGCAAAAATATCAGAGACAGTAAAAAATACTTTATACGGAGCGAACTGACGGGCCCGTTCAAGAGATCCCTTCCTGCCCCTGAGGCCGCGAGGCACTCAATGAGTAGAGAAAAGAAAGAAAGAAGATAAAGATAGTTGACAGGGTATATGGTTCAGGAAAGAAACACCTTCCCCCCAAAATTACAACCAGCCATAACTGCAGAATTGACTCTGGATGAAAAGTGCCACGACAATGATCAGGAGACAATGGAAACCAGGACCTCAAAGAACATTTGCTGAAGAAAAAAAGAAAGCTTTCGACACCTATTGATATATACCTACACTAAATCACACAGCGCAAACGTTTCAACACAGTAATAAAGAAAACGAAGAACCGATTCCATTTGCTGTTCAGTACGGGCAGGCTAACAGCTCAGCCATCCTGTGTTCATACTCACTCACTCATCTCTTTCTCTCTGCTTTCCTCTCCTCCTACATTGGATATCCGACAATAAAAACGGTAGGCGTCTCGTGTACACGTCTGCCGCTCATCGGCCCGACAAATCACACATCGAGGCCACGGTTTGTGGCCCTGCTGAGTGGTAAATCTATCACGGCAACACACCAGATTCTCACACTCCAGCCCCAGACCTTGTCTTGTCTGTCTTTACGGCAGATATGTCTCTCCCTCCTGGCTTCTTTCTGTGTGTCTCCCACGCCCTGTTTGGTCGCTTTCTTGTTCTTGTTTTTCTCATCCTCATCTTCCCCCCTCCGCCTCCTCTACCTCATCCTACATTCAGCTTTCTCTTTACCGTATTTTCCCCTGGGTTCCTGTGACCCGTTTTGGGGGAAAGACAACAGACTCACTGCTCCCTAACAAGCATGTCGCAACAGGTGACTAATTAGGGGCGTTTCCTTCCGAGTCGGAGGGCATCTCCTTGAGACATGAAACCAACAATCTGCATACAGATAAACGGTAAAGCATGTG